TGAGTCAGGTCTCAGCTAATGGCAGTTGTCATTTGCTGAGAGTTGCTTTCCTCGAATCTAAGATTAATAGGTATCAGGGTACCCTTTAGGTTTCAGGAGCCTTCATAAGTATTTAATTGTTCATTAGCAGTGGGTGAATCTGACCTTCACAGAGATTTTTGGGGAGAGTCCCTTAGTTCTGAAGCAGTCTAGGCAGTTGAGAGCAAGGTCAGTGGTTTCTCCATCTGGTCTCTGACTTCATTCATCAGATTTGGCATTTATTAAACACCTACTGCATGCAAGGTTCTATACCAGAGAAGTAGAGGGTAGGTCACTGCCTTGGTGTGGCTTTAATTAACCTGGAAATATTTCAAAGCCAGCTAATGGCCTTCCTCATTCTCAGCTATTATTTTAGACTAGAGAACTTTACAAATTCTTTGTCTTTATAAATAATAAAAGGTTGCACACAAACAAAAATTATATTGGAAACAAAATGATTTTCTTTTTTTTTTTCTTTTCATTCTTTTGTGTGTGTGTGTGTGTGTGTGCGTGTGTGTGTGTGTGTGCGTGTGTGTGAAACGGGGTCTTGCTTTGCCCAGGCTGGTCTCCAGCTCCTGGGCTCCGGTGTGTCTTCTGCCTCTGTCTCCCAAGTAGCTGGGACTACAGGTGTGTGGCACCATGCCTGGCTCAAAAACAAAATGTTTGACACGATGTTTTAATTTTAGAAAACTGTAGTTACTCTTATTTACAGTGCCAGTGTTTTCCAAAGGGTCAAAACACTAAAGTTATAGACAATAAAAAACATTGTTAAGAAAAGACTGCTGCTTTAATGTAGAATTTGTCAATAGTTAAGATTTTTTAGAAGAAAGTAAAAATGTTCTTCGGAGCATAGAGAAAAATATATTCTCTATTATTCGAATCCCTCTTGGGCATTGCTCTCATGAATTGCAGACTCTGGTAGGCTTCCGTGTGTGGGGGAGAGGGCAGGGCCTTAGAGAAAGCAGTGCAGGGGCATTGGTGGGGCAGGTTGTCTGAAAGCTGCTCTCAGAGTTCATACCTGCCTGGGTAGGAAATGCCTGCACGGGCATTTCCAGGATATGACTGTGGAGATGTGTACAAGAGTGTCCAGGCAGAGCAGATTGAGAAGTTGGGCTTCAGTTCTTCCCCATGGAGAGCTCTTTCTGAAGGTCCCATTTCCTCACCTGCCTTTCTGTTGTTGCAGCTCATCAGAACCGGGTGTCTGCAATTATCTTCAGCCTGGCGGCAGAGTGGGTGATCAGCACCGGCCACGACAAGTGCGTCAGCTGGATGTGCACCCGGAGCGGGAACATGCTGGGGAGGCACTTCTTCACCTCTTGGGCTTCCTGTTTGCAGTATCCTTCAGCCGCCCAACATCTGCCCTGACCTCTTTTTCTCTGTAAATTGTTAGTTGAGATCTAAAGACTGAATGAATTCTACATATTTCATGTAATAGTTCAAGAACTTCTGTATCTGCTTTTCTTTGGTATAAATTGGGCTTATTAAAAATAGTGAAGGAATTTGCTGGTTTTTGCTGGGAAGTGCTATAGGTTTTTCATACAAAATTGTGGAAAACCCAAGCCCATTAATGCAAACCCCTCCCCTCATTTCTTTGCATTCAAATTGAAAGACTTTTTCTGGTATGAAGAAAGAAAAAAAGGAATCGACCTTTTAGTAATTGGTTATTTGCAGAACCTGAAAGAAAATTTACCCGTGTAATGAGAGCCCATAATCCTTATAATACTCTCAAAGCTGCCTCAGGATCCCCCCGAATGCTAAAAATTACTGCCTTAAAAATTTCCCACTACTACGTGGAATTTGCTTTGCGTAGAACTCACCTTGCTTACGGCGCCCTTCTCGTGCGTGTATCTTAGTGATGGCAAGACCAAGGCTGCCAGCAACAGGCAGAGACCCGTGGTAGTTTCTCTCTCAGAGTTGAATGTCTGACACAGTAAAATCCTTTCTTGAAAGCCTTTATTTAAAACGTTTGCTACAAATGAATGCACAGCATGTGATATTTAAAATAGCACCATATACTTTAAGATCAGACTAGGGAAAAATGCTCATATACATTGCGTGCCAGCGAAGTGTTTCTGTTATGTGCTAGACCTCTCAGTGGATTTACAGAAAATGGCCCAGAATCATAGTC